AATGGGGGAAAAAAGTTTGTGTAGAATGGCTCTTGACAGATTCCCCTTTCTTTTTATCTGCTTGTAGAAGTTGGATCATCATGACCCGTGGTTTCAGCATCTTCAGACATTGTTTGGTTCGAGCTCCTCTGCAGGAGACTTTCACTTTCTCTGCAGATGCCTTCTGAGTTGGATAGCGGAGTCCTCTCACCGCCTAACACAGTATGAGGGCTTCCCTCCACTTGAGTGGAACTTCCTTCTCAGGCCTGCTTGCTCCCACAGTGGGTACCAAATATTGGAGGGCAGCAACCAATCCTCCAAATGCCTCGAAAGGGGGAAGGTGAAGGCTGAAACCCTGGAATGGGCTGCCAAGTCTCAGTGGGATTCCAGATGGTTGAGATCCCGGCTCCTGGTGCCCTGATGTCCCCTCTTACTCCTGAGATATTTTCATTTGTGTTCCTGCTTTTGAGAATTCTGAGGACCATGTTGGAGGTAATGAAAATTCTGCCACCAAGTCCCTTTTCTGGGATCATCCACCTTTTCTGCTCTTTTTGGCGTTAACTTTGCCCAAGAAAGGATGCCCAGTTTACAGCCTTTACAGACATTCTGGGAAGGGTTCCATGGGCTTCACCAGATTGCCAGATGGGTCCACGGCATCAGCACGGTTAGGAACCTCTGTCTAGGACTTCTCTTCCTGCTGAAGGCTGCCAAAAGAGGGTATTTAGGGCCCAGGATCCCCGGAGGGCCCTCTGCTCCCGTGTGCACTCTCAGACCAAGGAAAATGAGACAGGAAACTGGGGCAGGAGCAAGGGGACTCTGAGAAGTGGAGCAGAAGCCAACAGGCCAGGCTGGCAGGGCTCAGTCTAGCGGTACAGAACTGAATTCGTTCACCCCCACCTCTTCTGTGCTCCCCAGGACTCCTGGGGCCCAGTGTGGCTTCTGGCTTCAATCATCACATGTCCTCTCTCTCTCGCCACCCCCTCAGTTTCTTCTCTGAGCAAATATAGCAGAAGTAATCTGGCTGCAAGTCAAGAGAGGCCCTATTTCTGTATGCGCCTCTGCCCCTGCCTGGCCTTTCTGTGTGACTTGGGCCAAGTCATCTTCCCAGCCTCGGAGCAGGTTTGACATCTGCACAAGGGGAAGGATGCACGTCTCCAGCATTCCTACTGCTGTGTCCCCTGGCCATGTCCTCAGCAGGTGACTCTGATTGCTCCACGCCTGCGCGCAGCTGCAGAAACCTTTTCAACACTGCTGATGGACCAGAAATGGCAAATGAAATGAGGTTGATTTTCGACTACACTAAATGACCTACACCTCAAGTACCACCTACATTTCCACCTCTGACTTCCTATGGCTCCAAGGATCTGATCTGAGGAACCCAAGGAAGACCCTGGACAGGTGGTGAGGACTTGTAAAGTCCTGACCCTCTCAGCTGGGTTATACACTTTCTTGCACGAACTCTAGAGCAAAAATGGGGTCGGAATAGGACACCGAGATGCTGAAATCTCACACTCCCATGGGTCAGTCAGGTCTACAGCAGAGGAAGGAAGTGAAATGGGTAGAAATCAAACACTTTGGTCAAAGTGTTGGGAACTGACATCCTATCACGACGGGTACCATCTGGACCTTCCTCTCCCCGACTGTCCCTTGTCACAGGGGTGATCAGGCAGTGATGGCAACAGAGTGAACAACTCTGGCTACCCCAAGACAAATTATGCCGACACGGCCACATGTCAACATGTGGCCACTGTGTGACCCAGGCTGGCCTCGAACTTGTGGCAATCCTCCTGCTTCAGCCTTCCACGCTGGGACTACAGGCGTGCACTTGGCCAAATATTGTAATGACTTTAACACACCTAACACAACGATTAGCCCAGAGGAGGTACTTAATAACCACAGGTACTCCACTAGAGCATCTCCAAGTTTCATCCGTGGGGCCTGGAGGGACCCCGCTGAACCCGTATTTATCCATCTCAAGGCCTGGACGTTCAGTGCGTGCCTTCTCACTCACATACCCAGTGCTCTCAAGCATACTCACACACACCCTGCAACAACCCTTGGGAGAATTCTGAGATGTCAAGGCTGGTTACCAAGGAAAGGTGTTTAGGAGCCTTCCCTGGGGTGCAACTACAACTTCCCAGTGCTGATTAGAACAGAGGCTCAGCCCACAGCAAGACCCTGGCTCACAGGACCCTGCAGGGGTCAAGGAATGTGTGGACTTTGATTCCATTAGTTCCCGTGCACACATACACAGGCGAACATGTGTGTGCACATGTTCCTGGATTCCCCCTTCCTGGAAACTGTCGGGGCTCTCACTGTACCTCACTGTCTCCCTGCTGGTGTCCCCTAGGAGAGGCTGCCACGATCCTTGAAATCAGCAATCCCTGAGATTTGTTTTCTTAGCAGGGAGCTCCAGGGGAGGAGAGAACAGGTTGGCTTAGACTCAAAGGACTGAACAGAAGTGGCTTGGAGAAGAAAAGTGGCTGACACCCAACCTCACCAGGAGGCCCTGCCGTGGGTACTGGAGCCCTTCAAAGTTCCTGCCCTGCTCTGATCACCCTGCTTCTCACACCTCTGTCACATGCCAGGCCTGGGTTTCCCTCCCAAGAGTCACGAGAGAATTCCAGGACTCGCTGAGCTGTTTTCCCCTTCCTCGGTTTATTTGATTCTACATTATGAAAAGTTCCAATACATGGTATTTTTTTTAATGTAAAAGGATTTAAACGCACATGATCACATTTTCACCAGTGGAATTCTTTCATCACGTAATTACTAACCACAATTAAAGAGCATAAAAATCATCACACAGGTCACACTTCACAAAATGTTGATGACCTGATTTCATCAACTCCAAATTGCATTTTTAAAAACATCTTTGGATTTATTTTAAGATATGTGCGATCTACGCTTCCCTAAAAGATACTATTTGGCCCTAAGAATAATCCCAGGGGGCAGGCATTGCCAAAATTATAATCCCCACTTTGCAGCTGAGAAAACCGAATTTCAGAGAGGCTGAGCAATTTGCCTGAGGTCACGCAGCTAGGCAGTGTGGAAGCAGGACTGTGGCCCTGTTTCCTGATTCCCAGAACAAGCTGTGTCCAGCATGTATTCCTGGCCTGCAAGCACCGTACCGTCAGAGTCCGCCCGCTCTCTGCACCGGCTGGGCATCAGCCCAACAGAGGCCAGAGCAGATCTCAGCTGCCCCACCCCCAGCTCTGGGGAAGGCCCTGTGGGGACTCTTGGGACCAGCCTGGCCCCATGTCTGACGTCTTCACAGCCAAGGTTCCCCTTTCAAGAACAGGGCCCGTGTATGAGGCAGGGCCATGAAAACAAAGCTGGGCTTGGGCTTTTACAGCAATATTTCTACCTGGTGTTCTCACAGACTTGTGGGAGGGGCTCCCCACTCTGGGTCCCCATTCTCTGAGTATTCCACAAGCACTCTTTTCCTTCTCTTTTCCAAAGGTCAAATGAAAATCAAGCATTGACTCTAGATAAGACCTCACAGACAGGCTGCTGTCACATTTCCCTGCTTTTGGCAAAATTTGCATCAGCTCCACGCTTCCTTTGTTCCTGCTGAGCAGAAACACTGGCTGGCCACTCTGGGGCCAGCATCCGAGACAAGGGGAAAACTCATCAGCAGGTGCAAATCTCTCTGAACCAAGGGGTGGGGGTGTGACAGGAAAGCGCAAAAGGGAAGCAGACATAGGAATCGAGCTCCTCGTTTTCCCAGATGGGGCAGGTAAGGCTCAGAGAGCTGGAGTGCCTCGGCCAAGGTCACAGAGCAGAGGCATCGTTCCCTGTCCCCACGGGCCCCTTCTGAGGTTGAGGAAGCCGCAGGCATCAGGACTCACCGAGGTTGCTGAAGTGGGTCAGGACAGGGACTTGGCTTCCCCCGGGGGCCTGTGGACTTCTTCCTGGGGGCACCTGCCAAGGCCACGCTGTCTTTCCTCCCTGGGAGCCTGCCAGGGCGGCTAGGCATGGAGCCTCTTGGCAAGCAGGGCTCTGGGCCAGGTGAAGGAAGTCTCCCCAGAGAAAGCTCCCTCCAGGACTCAGCGACCAGGCCCTGGGCTCCCGGGGCCCGTGGAGGGCTGTAATATCCAGGCTGCGAGGCTGGCTCCTGGCACAGTGGCTTCAGATCCCTCCAGGTTGCCAGGCTCGTTCTGCCAGGTGCCTTTCAGACAGCTACCGCTCTCATTGGCTGAGCAAGGCTCCTCCTACCTCACCACCTGCACAGGTGAGAGCAGCCAGGCTTAGGAACCCAGGTGAGTAAACAACCCATAGACTCTGCCTCCTCCATGGGCTCAGAGCTGGGCCTCCCTGCCCTCCAGCCCCATCCCGTCTGCACCCCTGGGAGCAGTCTGGGAGCAACGGAGGAACCACTGCGGAATGCTCAGTGCCAAGCAGGTGACCGGCCTCACTACACCCCTGCACCAGAGTGACAGCCGTCTTCTGTCTCAGATGGGAGCCTGGCCCCTGGGGGTGGAGGGGTGCATCCAGTTCACAGCACTCTTGGCAGGAAGTCTGGTAGCACAGGCTGTCTGAGGGTCCAAGGCTCTTCCTTTGACTCCCCACACAGTGCCGCCGGGCAAACCGCTGCTCTGTCAGTGAGGACTGTGGAAGCCACCCACGGCCTCAGTTTCTTCGCCTGTGAAATGGGAAGGTCATGCCTGTGAGTCTACGCGCACTATATGAAGTGTGTCTCCTTGGGCTTAATGCTGAAAGCGGGTTTGGAAGATTCTTTCAGCAAATCCTCTCCGTTGGCATTCATTCATTCATGCAACAGGCATTGTTGTTCAGCAACTATGCTGTGGCTGCTGCTGTTGTAGTTCTTAGGAAGACACCAAGGAAGAAGGTGAGAACACTACTCTTCCTGAGTTGAATTGTACATTGGGGGTGTGTGGGTATAAACAAGTAATCATGCCGTGAAGAATGAAATAAGCTGATATGATGAATGAGAGATGATTTTTTTTTTTTTTTTTTTTTTTTTTTTTTTTGGTACTGGGGATAGAAAACGTGTCCTTGTACTTGAGAGGCAGGTGGTGGAACCACTGAGCTAAATCCCTGGCCCGAGATATGAATATTTTTGCTTATGTGGTCAGGCAGGCCCACTTCATGGAGGTGATTGGGAAGGTGATCTACAATGATCGAAAAGCTGGACCAAGAGAAAGGGCCCAGGGGCAGATGTGTTCGGAAAACACAGAGTAAGCTGCTGTGGCCAAAATCCACACCACAAAATCCCTGTACTCCCTTTTTTAATACAGAAGGAAGTCATTCAGGGAGGTGACTTAACTTGCCCAAGACTCCTTTCTGTAATGTTCTCCTTCCTGCCCTTACCCTCATATATTAGGGGGAGAAACTGAATTCTGCCAGCCCACACTGCTGTGACCCCATACCTCCTCCACTCTGGGCCCATGTAAGCACTCAGAGAGCAAGGGCTATGATCCTAGGAGTTTACTACAAGGAAGAACAAAATCTCGACCGACAGAATGCAGTATTTACAGTTTTAGCAGCAGTGCAAATTGTCAGCAGACCCTGGTGGCTCAATCCCTTCCCACCTTCACTTTCAGAGGTTTTTTTCCTTGGATTGTAAAAAAACAGCTGGCTGTTTCTGGTCACTGTATCGCTCCTCGTAGGTTTGCCCTTGTTATTCTGAGACGGGTGGTGAATGGCATGGGATAAAGCACAGCAGTGACGCGGGTATTGTTTTAGATCAGGACTTTGGGGATGAAGGGTTTGCAGATAAAACAGGAAAGGAGTTACACAAAAACCTTACAGTTCTGGATTTCTTGGAAACAAAGCTCTTGTAAATAAGGAGTGGTGGAAGGGAGGGGAGGGGCATGGGAATAAAAGAAGTGGGATATGTCACGTACAAGTACAAATTCCCTATGATGAATGTGATCATGATGTGTATCTAAAACGTACCGATAAAAAATAATGCTGGATTTTTTTTCTGTAGGGATGAGCAAGTACTTTACCACTGAGCTGCACCCCAACCCTTAATCCCAGATTTCAATCAGAAGTTGTAGTATGAATTTTTAAGGTAGCTGATCCGAAGAGCGACCAGATAACCATGCCTATTCTTTCTGTCACTTCTTTCCGGGTCTATAAACAAAGGCCAGACCTTTAGTGAGCAGAGTGCACTATGAGTGGCTCTCAGTATTATTTTCCTTGAAAAATGAACAGCTCATTGGGCTTTGGGGCTGAAAATGTACTATTTTCCATAGCCACAAATCTAGGACAGAATTGTGTCAGAGGGACCTGAAGAGACTCTCGTTGGCCAAAGTCAACAATCTGAGCACCAGTAAAGAAAATAATTTCAGTAGGATGAAAATCATCAAATATATTCAAATCCTTAGGTTCATTTACATACACAACCTCAGTGATCTACTTTAGAAGGAAATCAATTGGGTATTTTGAAAACTGGTAAGTGAAAGAGAAACAATCAAGTATTTATTCTGTCTTTCCAGTAAAAACAGTGCCTCTGGCAACCAAGCTCTCTAGCAAGCATCCCCCCCACTCCAGAAAAAGAATGGATTGACTAAAAAAGAAAAACAAAAACAAAAACAAAGAACTACAAAATCACCGAAAGGGCCAGGTACTTTAGGCTTTGCTGTTATGCAGTCTCTACTGCAACAATTCAGTCCTAAACAAAAGTGAAACAAATGGGCATGACTGTGTTCTAGCAAAATCTCATTTCAAAACAAACCAAACAACACAAAAAACAGTGAAGCTATGATGCATGATTTGCCAAACCCCTATTCCCGATCTGACTACACATTTATAGGAACTGAGGAACAGGCAAAAGGACACCATGGGGACAATAACAAGTAAAATCCAAACTGGGAGAATACTGCCAGGAAAATAACCTGATTTACTTAACTAATGAATTTCGAGATGGGGGGTGGGGGAGAAATGGAAGCGGTATTTATGGGTTAGAAGAAATTTAAGATAAATATTAACCAATCACAATTATAATTCAATCAAGTATAAAAATAATGAAGTAGGGTAATTGAGACAATGTGAATACTACTTGAATATTTGATAATATTTACAAATTTATTCCTGACATTCGGGAGTCTTTGATGATGTATTGTAGTTAGGTTTAAAAAGGAGAATCAGGCTGGATGTAGCTCCGTGGTGAGCACAGATGTTCAACATGTTTGGAGCTCTGGGTTTGATCTCTAATAATAACAAAAAAAGCAAGGGAGGATTCTCATCTTTTAAAAATATATACTGAAAAGGTTCAAAATAATGGTAAGGTTATACAGGAACAAAATCAGTAAGCATTGATAATTGGTGAATTATATGACAGAGATGTAGAAATTCATTATATTATTCTCACTATTGTATAAATGCTTGGAATTTTTCATTAAGAAGAGTTAAAATATATTTATACCACTTCACACTCATCTAACTGACAAAATTTTAAAAATCTAACAAGCCAAGATTTTTGGAAGGACATGGAGTAGGGGCAGCTCTGAAAGCTGATGGGAAAATACTTACCTAAAACTTTTTATTTTGGCTTTTTGAGACAAGATCTCACTATGTAGCTAAGGCTGGCCTTGAACTCATAGTGACCCTCCTGCATCTGCCTCCTGAATGGTGGGATTACAGTGTGTGCAATTCGTGTACTCTATGATACAAAAACTGTGTCTGGATGTTGTTAAATAAAAATTACAGAAGGTAATTATTTTGGACTGGGCCCCAAGATGCCACACTAAAAATCAAAATGGAGTCACTCATGCTAAACTAAGCTGTTTCACCAAGCGGAACCTAAAAACTGTATGTGGCTGTCGTAGAAATCAGAATTATATGGAGAACAACCGCATCTCCCAGACACATCAGTTTTAACTGGCATGATACTGACATTTCCTCTTACATTAAATGTACCAGGAAAAGCTGCCCGAAGTAGCTTGATGTTAACCAGTCAGTTAGTTTTCTATTATTCTGTCCCAACCCAACAAGGAAAAAAATGGAAGTGACCAATCTACTTTTCGATTTTGCTTTCTTCAGTCATTTTCTGTATATAAGCCAAGACTCCTGTGCTCAGCTCTCTGGAATGCCGTGTAGTCTCTGGAAGGAAGTGTTGACTCATCCTAGAACAGAAAATAAAACTGGTCAGACAGTGTATGTTGTGAGCACCTGGCAGGCAAGGGCTGTTCCTTGTCCCTCACTCTGACCAGTACTCAGCACTTAATACAATGCTGACCACTGAGGGGCCAATCAGAAAATACCTGTCAAATGAGTATGGTTGCTTAGCACCAGGCAGCCAGCAGGTTTAGATACTCTGTAACAGCCCCGGCTTTTCCTCCTCAGTGCTTACCATGCTTATCATGAGATAACTGCGTAGGGACCTACTGAGCATGCCTAATGCTCACCACTGTATCTCAGTGGTTTACCGAATGAATAAACATCTCATTTGATAAAGCTCAGCACAGTGGATGGTGGCCCCACCTGCTGATCTTAAAGCCTGGGCTCAGGAAACTGGCATAAAGTTCTTTATTACAAGATGCTGACACTGTCGTGGCCACGTATGGACAGGGGTTTGCCAATACCTGGGTTCAGCTATTCCTAGAAATAGTCCACCTCTAGGAAAAGTCTGTCCACACAGAAAGGAAGCAAAATGGAGTGGGTAACAAGCTCATCTGTAGGTTAACCAGGGCCTTCACTTGGCTTCGAGTCTGGGGGGGTACGTGGATTTGCTTTCAGCCTGGAGGTGGTCGTGGAATCTCCTTCATAGCTGTGACAGGACAGAGAGTGAGTTGATGTGTGCATGTTTCCTACAGGGCTGGACCAGCGCTCAGTCGAGCCTTCCAGAACAGCTGTCACTGTCCGCACTCTTTTGTCTTCTAGCACTGTCCTTGGATGAAGGACACACTGGATGTCACCACGAGGAAGATACTTGGGCTGGAACTCCGTTCATAGGCACTGGGCATCACCAAAGCATCTTCCAGGGTCAACCTGACCCAAATGCAGGCAAGCAAGAGCGAGCCACCTATGCAATAAAACACAACTCAAACCAGCTTCAGTGAGTCAGGCCACACACCCCAAGGTCCAGAAGGCAGACCTGCTCTGGACATGGTGAACTCATACTAAGAAATCTCACCAGATGTCTCCTTGTCTCCCTCACTTTTTTTTTTTTTTTTTAACCGGGGATCTAACTCAGGACCTTCCACTTGCCAGGCAGGCAGGGCACCACTGACCTATATCCCCAGCCCCACACTGCTTTCATCTGTGTGGGGGTCCAATGGATCTCAAGAAAGTCCGACCCCCCATGGTGGTGTTAGGGCTTATGTCTAGATGTTTCCGTAAAGCCTTATGCAGGCTGAAGCAGGCCCTATGGAAGGTGCTTGGACGTAAGAGCGTTACAGGGGGCCGGGGATTTAGCTCAGTGGTTCCGCTGCCTACTCGGAAAGCACAAGTAACCCAGTTCAATCCCTGGTACAACACCCCAAAAAATAGTCACTGGAGCTGGATGTGGTATCATGTGACCTTAATCTTAGAACTTGAGAGGCTGGGGCCAGAGGATCTGATTTCAAGGCCATCCTGGACTGTTGAGAGCCATTCTACATAAAATTGTGGAGAAAAATCATTTCACAATTAAAGTACGACTATAGTTGTCTAAGGCCCAATGTCACCTGGCCCAACACAGATTTAAGGGAATTGTACTATAATAATGTTATATCATAATTTGCTGTTGGAAGGTGGGGCCTCGTCAGAAGCAGGTCACTGGAGGCACTAGCTACATGGGTTTAGTTCCTTCCTAGCTCCTCCCTTCACTCTCTGCTTCCCCGCCATAATGACAAGAGCAGCTTCTCGAACGTGCCCCTCTGCCATGCCACTTTGCCTGGAAACCAGCAGACACTGGATCAAAAGCCTGTACAACTGTGAACCACAAAGTAAACCTCTTCTCCTTTGATTTGTGGTGCTGGGTATTGAGTCTCAGCGATGAGAAAGTGAATGAGACACTGGTTAACACCCTAACCTATTTTTCTTCTTCAAAGTTCAAACCGTACTCCAAGAATGGAGTGTCATTGGCTGTAACTGAGTCACATGACAACTCAGGAACCAATGGCTGTGACCGAGAGATGCAACACTCTGATTTGGCAGAGCCAAGGCACAGGCCCACCTCTCTTCCCAGGGCTGAAGTCTGCTCTGCAGGGGAAGGTGATGTTCCCAGGCCAAGCATGATTGTAGATACCAAAAGAGAGGGTGTTGCTGGGTCAGCAAAACGAATATCCACTGCAGTCTTAAAACCCCTTGCAGGTCAGGTGACAAGGGCAATACCACAAGGAGAGCAAGCAAATATAGTTCTGTCAGATGAAGTGACAGAGGGCAATGAGGCAGTACTCAACTGTCTGCCAAAAGAACTGTTTCACAAAGCTCAGACTGAAGCCTGGATTGGAGGTTCACAGAGCCTAGGCATTAAATGGAGACAGGTGCAAAAAAAAAAAAAAAAAAAAAAAAAAATTCTTAGTAACCTATGTACATAATTATAGTACTTTAATGAAATCTATTTTAAAAAACAAAATTAATGCCAAAAACCTCACAATGACCAAAATATCAAAATTTTAAGTAAAAGCATGATAAATAATAGTGCTAAATAAAGTCATATTAGAACTCTGGAGACATCAGAAGTACCAAACTTTTGTTTGTTTGGTACTCGGGATTGAACGCGGGACCTCATACTTAGAACACAGGTGGTGGAACCACTGAGCTAAATCCCTGGCCCAGAACTACCAGACTTTTTAGCTGAAATCATGGTATTGTGTTCACTATATTTTTTGCATTAATCTTGATTTTTAAAATATTTTTTATCTAGATTACTGAAATTTTTAATACCTTTCTAAATTTTGGAGCCAAAGTTTTTGACAAGTAGGTCATCCGCCTTACCTTAGTCCAGACCCTACTGTCTTTATGTGGGGTCTGCAGAACGCCAGACGGGAAAGCTGCCCAGGAAGGGGTGGGGACATCCCAAATCCATACATACCCTCTAGGGGGAAGGGTCCTGGTGGGAATGGGAAGCCCGGAAGCAGTATCCTTGTTCTGCTGTCAGTGCGCAGCTGTTACTGTCATGCTGGAAAATTTTGTTTTCCTCTCTGGGCCTCGCCTCTCCACTTTCTTGGAGGGACAGAGCATTAGAAAACAGATTTTAAAAGGGGTTGCTGAAGCCGGCGTGGGCTGAGACAGACCCTTCGCACCTCCGTTTCCCACTAAATCAGCAGCCCCTTCCACGTAGCTCCGAACACAGACTGAGCACCATCACTATCCAGTGACTCTAAGATCCTGCAGCACACCCATATTTCTGTCTGACAAACTGTATGCATTTCAATTCCAGTGTTTCTCACATGGCCAGAAGTCCTCTGTAACAGACACCTCAGGTGCGGGTTCCGGGACAGGATTTATCTCAGTGGTGCTGCAGCCTGCCTCGCAAGCCCAAGGACCGGAGTTCAATCCCTGGTACAAAAAAAAAAAAAAAAAAAAAAAAAAAGCAGGTTCCGCAGCCTCACCCTAGTCCTATAGTATCTGCCCTCCAGAGACAGGCCCAGCACTCAGCGTCTTGAACAAGCATTAACAACCTTCCTAGGTGAGTGTCATCTATGGAAGTGGAGGCTCTCCTCAGTGAAGTTACTTCCACACACCCTCAGGAGATATTTATTCTGGATGGAGCTTTCACTACTACAGTCCTTCTGATGGTCCAGGGTGAGGGGGGCAATGTATGAATGAGCAGTCAGTGAAACCTCCATACCCAGATCAAGCTTTGCCTAGTGAAAAGAGACCACAACAAGATCTCCAGAGGCCTTTATTCCAGCCCCTCACTCTCGTTTTGTTTTGGTTTTTTTGAGACAGGGTCTCACTATGTAGTTGAGATCGACCTGGAACTTACTTTGTAGCCCAGGCTGGTCTCGAAATCACAGCGATCCTCCTGCCTCAGCCTCCCGAGTGCTGGGATTACAGGTGTGCGCCACCACTCTTCTAGCCCAGGTTTGTCTCCAGAAGAAACTGTCTGCGCATCAGTCTTCTTCCGGAGCATCACTGGTACCCTTGGCAATTATTTATCGCACTCTCAGGTTTCTTAGTACACTAAGGATTCCTGGGAGCTCAGAGCAGGCACGTCAAGGGAATTCATTTTAGACTCTGGAAATACGGCAGATTTTTTGTCAACTGCAAGGGAAACTGCCATTCATTAATTCACTCATCATTTCATTTGCTAAACTTAGCTTAGAAAGCTTACTGACAAATAGGACATTTCTTCTGCTTTTCACCTCAGCTTTGTTATATAATGCACATGACACATGATGTAATTCTATCTGCTTAAAATATACATTCAATTGTTTTTACAGTATTGAGTTGTACAACCACCATTATAATCAATTTGAGAACACTCTGGTGATCCTATAATTCCAGTGACTTGGAAGTTTGAGCCCAGCTTGTGCAATTCGGTGAGACTCTGTCTCAAAATAAAAACTATCCAGGTATGGTGGTGTAAGCCTAGAATTCCAGCACTTGGAGAGGCTGGGGCAGGAGGATGACAAGTTCAAGCCCAGCCTGGGCAACTCTGTTTTCAGAAACAAATGACTGAATTTATAAATGGCTATAGATGTAGCTCAGTGGTAGGGTGCCGGATTTCAGTCCTCATTACCACATGCACACACACACACACACACACACACACACACACACACACTACCCCATAATTACATACTATTCCCGTTGCCAACAGTCATATAGAAATATAAACTAAGATAATCATATAATTACATATATGTAAATTGTATGTAAATGAAGACTCTAGTACTCTTTACCTGTTACTCTCCAGCATTTCTTATCTTCACATCCCTAAGCAACCACAATGCTACTTTGTGCCTCCGAGTCACATGGGCTGGACATTCACATAAATGAAATGACAGAACATATGGTCCTTGAGGCCAGCCTCTCTCACATAGCACCACGTTTAAAGGCTCATTCCTATGGCAGCATGTATCGGTCCTTCATTTGTGTATGGCTGGATAATATTCCATTGTCTGGGCGAGCCCTGTTTTGTTTAGCTACTCATAAAGACGGTGGGCATTTGGGCTGCTTCCGCCTTGTGGCTTTTACAAAAACTGCTGCCACGACCTTTGCCTGCAGGTTTTTGTGCAGATGAGCTTTCTTTCCTGTTTCTGAAGGGCTCCCAGCCTGGCACACAAAGGAGCTCAAGGCAGGTGCTCCCCTAACTACCGTGACTGAGTCACAGAGCAGCAGGTGCCCCGACACCCTGTGTCTGTTGTCTCGTGGGTAACACAGGACGACCATGGGGATGAAGTGAGGCGACGCGCAGTGGGACCTTAACTGCAAGCCTGGCACACGGGCAGCATTTCACAAGCGCCTTGCTGTGATCATTTCTCATTTGGAGGTCTGTAAGAGCAAGTTCACTGGCGAACCACATGCTGCAGCCAGGGACACATCTTCATTCACTCAGCAAGTGTCTGAACGGACGAAATATCTGAATATTCATTACGTACTTGGCACGGTGAGAGAAATACAGTGACTCAAACCCGGATCCTCACGCAAGATGCACGAGTGCACACCTCCCCGGTATACTGGGGCTCTACATATGGAGGCACTGTGCGGCAGTGACATTTTATTGTACTATTAATGACGGGCCCCCAAATTTAGACACTGTGATATTAATAAAGGCTCAAAAAATTTGCTATGGAACCCTGGAGAAGCATAGGAAAAAAGAACTTTAAAAAACAAAACAAAACAAAACAAAACCCTTTTAAATCAGCCGTGGCGGCTTATACCAGTAACCCCAACTACTCTGGAGGCTGAAGCAGGAGGGTAGGAAGGTGGAGGCCATCCTGGGAATCAGTGAGACCCTCATCTCAAAATTAAAATATAAGAAGAGCTGGGATGTAGGTTGACACACCCTAGGTTCAGTCCCCATAAAAAAAGAAAATAAAAACAAACCCTAACTTATAAAGAAATTTGTTGAAGTATCAGAAAAGTGGGAAGAACAGTAAACTGAATGCTTATACATCTACCACATAGCTTTAACGATTGCCAATATTCTATCAAACAGTTGGGCAAAAACTTTTAATTTTCTTGCTTCAGCCTCCCAGAGGGCTGGGATTGCAGACATGTTCCACTACACCTAGCTTTTTAAAAGACCACATCTTCTTTTTTTTGTGTGTGGTACTGGGGATTGAACACAGGACCTTCCACTTACGAGGCAGGAGCGATGCCACTGAGCTAATCCCCAACATCTTATAGTATTGTTGGACTTTTGAACCTTGGGCTGGGGATTTAGCTCAGTGGTTCAGTGGCCTGCCTTGCAAGCGCAAAGACTCGAGTTCAATCCCCGGTACAAAAAAAAACAACAACTTTTTTTTTGAACCTTGTCTGCATTGCTTTATTTTTTATTTCTTCCCCACAACACTGACTTTTAAAAGATCATGGCGGTTGTCTCATAAACTGTCCCACATTCAGGATGTCAGCCAGGCATGGTGGTGCACTCCTGTAATCCCAGCCTTTGGGAGACGGAGGCAGGGAGGGCTGCCCCAAGTTCAAGGATATTCTGGGATACAGTGAGACCCTGTTAAAAAAAAAAAAGGATTTGTTTGATTCTTCTCCTTATATTGTTTGACACGTTCCTCTATACTTTGAATTTCCCACAAACTGATTTGACTATATTGTTTGCCACATCGTAGCTGCAGATGCTTACACCTAGCTGTCCCATCACCAGTGAGCTGAGCACCATCCCTGGCTTAAGGAGATGACGGGCAGGTGGAAGAGGAAGAAACTCCTGTGCTGGAGGGAAGGACGGGACAGCTGCCCAGGCAATGAGTGGCCTCTCAGGGTGTGTCGGGCCTCCTGGGTGGAGAAAGAGGAAGAAGAGGGCTTCCGAGCAGAGCTGCAGGGACAGTCTAAGGAAGGCCAGTGACAAGCTCGAGCAGGCAGGAGGTGGCAGCCAACGTGGGCTGAGGATTATAACAAGTGGCATGGAGGCTGAGTGTGCTGTGTTCTGGGAACTATGCTGGGTGACTCACCGAATGACACAGCCTGGGGAATGCTACTGGCTCATCACAGAACAGTGACAGGTAATGGCTAATGGCCTCAAGTCGCAGCCTAGGAACTGAGGCTCAGGATCTGCACCCAGGGCCCGCTGCTTGACTGCTGAGCCTCGGCTGTTCCATCACTCAGCTCCAGGTTGAGGTGAGAGCGGGTGGGAACCAGGAGAAGGACAGGAGACAGCAGGCGCAGGTGTAGAAAGGGCTTCTCTGGGCTGGAAGGAGCTCGTGGGGAGCAGCCAGGCTTTCTCCCAGGCACAGGCTTCCTGCTGCCCAGGGAAGGGTGAGTGGACTACTGCGTGCTCGAGCTATCGGTGAAGGCTGGGTGCCTCAGGTGAGAGGAAGTGAAGAAACTCGATCCTTGCACACTGCCCCTGTGCACAGGGTCCCCCTTAGCGGCAGTGGGGAGGAGCAAGGCTCGTTTCTCCTCTGACTCTCAGTGGGTGCACAGCCCGCACAGCTCGAGTGATTTCCATGCCATCCTACAGGCCTGGCATCTCCTGGGCTACACGGTACCGGATGTGAGCTGCAAAGATCCAGTGAAAGGACAAGCTTTTACCTTTGAGGCTTAGAGAGGGGAAGGGACTGGCCCAAGGTCACACGACCAAATTGTGGCAGAGGCAGGAGTAGAACTCTGGTGCCCCCAGTTCACTACGCTTTCTTAGTAGTTTATTTCAGAATCAAAGCTGAATCAAGGCAATCCCTGAAGGCTGGCTGCTGGGACGCTAAATACGCCAGGGAATCCATTATTTTTTATTTCCACTTCCTACTTTGTGAATCATCTCTGTTCATGGAGTGGAGGTGGACGTGGGGCCCCAGGTGCCTTCCAGGGTCAGGCTGTTGGGAAAACCCCACCTGCCCACGGCATCCCAGGCACGCCCTATGCATCTTCTGTCGGGGTGGCTCCCTGGCGTGTGGGAGCCACTGCTACTATGGCGACAGAATGCTCATCTCCAGCTGAAGGTGGGAAGGGTGGACAGAGGTTGTAGCAGGGACCACGCTGGGGCCAAGGTGAGTTCAGTCTCTGCTCTGGTGCTGACTGGCTGTGCAACCTTGGGCCTGTTACTTCCCCTCTCTGTGCATTCCTCCTCCACCCTTACTTTCTTCCATGCTGGAGAATGAACCCAGGACCTCACCCATGTTAAGCATCCACTACACTGACTTACTCCCTGGCCCCTGTTACATTTTCAAATAGGTGCACATAACTGCTCGATACAGTTTGGATGTATTAACCAACGTAAGGAGCATTCAAGGGGAGTCAGGGTCAATTATGATTTACTTGTTATAACTAAATTAGCCCACTGACTGGTTTAGCATAGTTCTGGGTGTAGACAACAGGAAGGCCCACCCTGAGTGTGGGAGGCACCATCCAACAGACGTGGAGCCTGGATGGGATAAAAGAGAAAAGGAGGGTCCACGCTGCTGCTTGCTGACGTTTGCCTCCCCTGCCATGGACTGTTTCCTCTGCTACGCCCCTCTGCCTTGGAACCAGGTGACTATGGACTAAACCTCTGTAAACTGTGAGCCAAAATAAACCCCTCTTCCTCTAACTTGTGAATGTTAGATATTTGTCCCAGCAATGAAAAGTACCTAAAACAAACTATATAGTCTTTGAACTTGTATGTCTGACGTTATTTCTCTTACTATCATGTTTTCAAGGGGCACTCATTTTCCTATAAATCACTCAAGTTTATCTTTCTTTACAGCAGAGTAGCACTCTATTGTGTAGAAAGACATTTTCTTTACCCACTCATCTGTTGATGGAGATACAGGCTGCTTCCAAGATTTAGCTATCATGAGTTGTGCTGCTACACACATGGTATGCACGTATCACTGTAATATAATGTCTGTAACTCTTTAGGGAAGATACAAATTAGGGGAATGCTGAGTTGAATGGAATTTCAATTTTTTAGCTTTTTCAGGAGTTCCCATAGTGGTTACATCAGTTTATATTCCCACCAATAATGTAAAAGAGTTCCTTATACATCACAGCCTCCCCAGCATTTATTATTGTTTAATTTCTCAGCAATTGCCATTCTTTCTGGAGTAAGATGAAATCTCAGTTTTGATTTACATTTCTCTAATGGCCAGTGATGTTAAACATTTTTTCCATGTATTTATGGGCAATTTGTATTTCTCCTTCTAAGAAGTGTCTATTCATCTCAGTTGCCCACTTTTTGATTGGGTCTTTTATTCTGAGGGGTGTAATTTTTTTTAGTTCTTTATTCAATGTAGGTATTCAACCTCTGTCCAAGGTGTAGCTGGCAAAAATTTTTTTCCATATTGTAGGTCACGTTGGCTGTTTCCTTTGCTATGATAAGGTTTTTAATTCTCTGCTATGATAAGGTTTTTAATTCGACATGATCCCATTTGTTGATTCTTGGTGTTATTTCTTGTACAACCAGGTTTCTGTTCAGAAAGACCTTGCCTATGTCTGTCATTTCCTTTTCTAAGCATAATATTTATGTATAAATTGTATTTATAAATTTATAAATTGTCACTCACAGTAAAAGTTTTATGGTACAATATTAAATGAAAAAGAATAATTAACTGATGAAATATGATTCCCAACTTTGTTTTAAAAGTATAAATATCCTAGCTGGGCGTGGTGGTGAACTCCTGTAATCCTAGCACTTGGGAGGCTGAGGCAGGAGGATCTCTGTGAGTTTGAGACCAGCCTAGGCTACAAACCTGACTTCCAGGTCAGTCTCAACTACAAAGTGAGACCCTGTCTCAAAAAAAAAAAATGTATAAATATCCAGGAAAAAAACCCAAATAAAGGAATCCACCAACTTATGAACAGTGGTAGGATACCAGAGATTCTTATCCTTATCTTTTCTAGATTGTCCAATAATTTTTTTCAAATGAGAATATATTATTGTTATAAACAGAAGAAGACTATTATTTTCAAACAAAAATCAAGGAAGGTGCTTAAAAACATACAAGCCTAAATAAAAGTAAGTCTCGAGGGCTGGGGATTTGGCTCATCGGTTCTGCTGCCTGCCTTGCAAGTGCAAGGTCCTCAGTTCAATTTCTGGTACCCACCCTCAAAAAAAGTAAGTCAGATGTTACCTACGTGTCAGTCACCAGACAAATTTAAGATTAAAATCCTGCCTTTCGGAAGCAGAGTCCATGTCCCCGACAGCACCCCAGCCCCTTACTGTGACTCCAGCTCCAGACCCCAGCTGCGGCTCAGGGCCTGGTTTTTCCCTTTGAAAGCCTCATGGGGAGTTCTGTGTTCCTTTCATTCCTGGAACTTCACCAATCTCCTTGACACAAGGCTCCTCCTGGGGGAGTCAGCTCTGGCTCTGTGGGGGTGTGGGGAGCATGTGGGGGGATGGCAGAAGCTGGAGCTCTCTGCCGTTACCCGGTATTTAACTATCAGTCTGCAGAAAAAGCCATGGCACACACAACCTCTCTGGGTCAACCTTCTTCCCAGCCTGACAGAGCCAGGCAAACCCTTCGTGATGCCTCACTTCCACCAGGCTGGGTCCTGGCACCTCCTTAGTCTGCCCCCTGGAGGGCTGGATGGAGGCTTTGAACCAGCCTCCCTCATGACTTCCACAAGCTCATCACAGGGTCTGTTGGTCAGCTCCAGGCCAGCCTGGAGGAAGTCGGGCATGGTGGGGCATACCTATGACCTCAGAGCTCCGGGGAGGCTGAGACAGGAGGAATGCAAGCTCAAACCCAGTCTGGGCAACTCACAGAGAACCTGTCTCAAAATACAGTGGACCCTTGATGTAGACGAGCTCAATTCCTTCCCAAAGGCTGGCTGTAACTCAAGTTGGTCAGTGAAGGCTCAGGCTCCTCTCCACAGCCTTCAAAGTCTCTCTCCTGTGCACAGAAAGATTTCAGGGTCCTTAGAGAGATACCAGCAAAGGATTTCTCAGTGAACCCCACACAGGAAAGGATGCTGTCATGTTCCTTCCAAAATCTTTAAGTGTTAAATCCGTGTCTGAGGCCATGTGAGAGCACAAGCAGCCGGCATTTGGTAACTCAAGACTTTGTTCCTAAGTTAAAACTAAAATTCTGGTCATAATTCAAGTTGTTCACATGTCAGGCCAGTCATAAATTGAGGGTCCACCGTAAAACGGCTGGGATACAGCTCAGGGTGATGGCTTTCAGTAATGGGGAAAGACAGGGAATATGGCAAAATGGACTTACTTGTTAGCCCTACCCTAGCCTTTTGTTTGTTTATTGTTTTTTTTTTTTGAGACAGGGTCTTGCTGTGTAGTTCAGGCTGGCCTTGAAATTACTAAGTAACCCAGGCTGGCCTCTAACTCCTCCTGCCTCAGCCTCCCGAGTGCTGGGATCACAGGCGTGTACCACTGTGCCTGGCGAAATTGTCTAAACGGATGGTCATTTCTCAGTGCCAATCAACTGCTGCCCTGCAAGGATCTTCCAAGTCAATAGGAAACTGGATCTTTACATGAAATCTCCTAATTTATAAATACCCATGGCAACTAATTCACAAACCACACTGGGTCCAGCTCTAACCAGTGTGTGACTTGTCTTAGGAACACATCGGACTTTTCCCCCTTAGCATTTCTCACTGCCAAGAACAGCTCCCACTCACAGGCCTAAGGAATGAATGTGGCCCACTCTGCCAGGCCCAGCCACACATCTACCTCATCTGTGACCGGCCCCGTGGCTTCAGTGAGAAGTTGTGTCACCTCTACGGTCATCACACCTGCAACAATCATCCCCTAACTCTGGGAGACAATGAGTTCCTGATATATTCACGGGGCACCTGCTACTTGTGGGCACTGTGCTAGGCACAAGGGACACAGCCTTGAAGAGAAGCACAGTCGAGTTCAGGGGACAGATTTAAAATAAATGATTCCAAGAGCCATGAGTTAAGCTCATAAAAAGGCCTTAATCCAGGGAGCAGGATTAAGTGGGTCATGATGTCGTTTAGGGAAGCATTAGCACTAGGGTTGCCAAGGAAGGCTGTGCAGTTTGCATACTGCACAAAGGTAATCAACTGAGAGGACAGGCAAGAGTTGAAATTTCTGACGGTTAACCTAAGTTGTGCCCTTTTCTAATCTGCACAAAGGCATCGTGTAGGCTGGCAGAGGCAGGGCAGAGTTCAGCTCCTTCTCCCTCTCCCCAAGGTTGCTCTAAACACACTTAAGGTCTAAGTCAAAGCAGTGACTTCCTTATGCACAGCTTTCTCTGTTCTTACTTTAGAAATCAAAGGACGTACCTCTGAGGGAACTACTTAGGAGCTGGGACCAAAGGGTAAGAAGCAGCTTGCCAGGTTAGAATATGAGGAACAGCATGAGGGGAGAAAATACCACAGTCCAAGGACCTGTAGGACCAGTGGCTGAAGGGTGGACAGAGATGGGAGAATATGACGGGCTGGGCTGGGCAGTGTCCCTACCTCAGAAGCACATTAACGAGTCTGGCCCCTATTCCCTAACATCCTGTAGCCACAAGTGGTGACACTTACCTGTAATCCCAGCTACTAGGGAGGCTGAGGCAGGAGGATTTTAAGTTTGAGGCCAGCCTGGGAACAGAGTAAGTTCATGACAAGTAAGGGCTTCATAGATACCCCGTCTCAAAGAAACAACACAACAAAAACAAACAGAAGAGACTGGGGATGTAGCTTAGTGGCAGGGCACTTGCCTAACATGTGACGGATTGGGTTTAAGCCCCAGTTCTTCAAGAAAAGAGAAAAAATATATAGTCTAAATATCCCCCTTCCTATCACTTTGAGTACTCGCATGGAGGGACAAAACAGAAGCTACCTGTATTGATTAACTTTCGTCTTGCTGGGACAAAATATCTGGCATACATAGCTTACAGCAGGAAAGGGTTTATTTTGGCTCACAGTTCCAGAGGGCTCCGTTCATGGTCACCTGGCTCCAAGACAGAAACCATACAGCAGAAGGGCCCGGTGGAGGAAAGCTGCTCAACCCATGGCAGCCAGGAAGCAGAAGGAAGAACCAGGGGCCAGACACATCCATCGAAGTTGCAGCCCCAGTCACCCAGCTCTTCCCACCAGGCCCAACCTCCTCTAAGCACTTTCAGCTATGAACTCCTCAAGGCGTAAGCCCACTGATTGAGCAGTGCTCCGTAATCCAATTACCTTCCGAGAGCCGCACCTCCGAATCTAGGAGACTCTTGGATCTAAACCATAGTACTATTTTACAGAACATCTCCCTGAGGTTCCTCCTCCTTTCTCCTCCTAAGGCATAAGGATCTTTCGGCTCCACTTGGGCAGATGAAACCTGGAGGCCCTGAGAGGAAAGCGGCCTGCCTTGGTGGGGTGGCTGGGATTCACACCCAGGTCTGCAGGATGGGTGCTCCGTCTCCTGCTGACCCTGCAGTGCCAACGGCCTCACGACTAAACAGAAGCTCCTGGGGCCACCGCAGTGCTATCCCCGCTACTGCAGTGGAAGTCTGGAGCCTGCAAGCACCAGCGGCCCTGAGTAAACACCACCCGGGTTCCAATCGGGCGAACTGAAACAGAAGTTGCACAGTACAAGAATCCTGTTCATGCTGGGGATTTAGCTCAGTGGCACCGCGCACAAGCACAAGGTCCTGAGTTCGATCCCCCGTACAAAATTTTTTTAAAAAAAGAAAAAGAAAAAATAATCCTGTTCACACCACAAACTGTAAAGCACCAGACTGGAGAATAGTCCAAGGACAGTGGCAACTGCCTTTGCAGTCTTCACGCAACTGTGAGTCTCACAAGCCAGGTGACCTCCAAACCCTCTGCCCTTTAGGGTCCACTCTGATCGCCGGACCATTTTCTTTCCTAGGATAAATCCCTCTCTCAACCCGGAGAGGAAAGGAGGGACAATGGTCCGGGAGAATAAAAACTGCTGGATGAGGAAAAACCCTCAGGCCACGTTCTGAAAAGTGGGTGGGACGGACTAGATTCGCCCTTAGCAGACCAGAGGCCTCGCCTCGGGCAGACAGCGGGCAGCAGGGAAGGCTGCCGAACTCGGGGCTGCACCGCCTTGACCTAGACACTGGCCCTTCAGAAACGCCTGTCGTTTGGTATCGTTTTTCTGGGACCGGGTCTCGCCTTGTAGCTCAGGCGGACCTTTAACGGGACGTAGCACCGCCTGGCGACCACCCTGTCCCAGCAGCCACTCCCAGCCGATACCACCGTTACGCTGGGCGTACCTGGCCTGGTCCTCTTGTGCTCTAATTTCTCAAGAGCTGGGAACGCGCTAGCTCCCTAGGAAACGCAGGACGCGCGGTGACAACTGGTTACAGGCGCGACGCACCTCGCTGCGTGGGCCCAGCACAGGTCTGCGGGCCGCCGGGTGCGGTTGGGGCGCTCCACAGGGCGGTCTG